GTTCTTCTTCATACAAAAATACACTCGAGTGAGTCGGATGTCTCAAGGTGAAGCCACAAGGATTAGGTGGTTTTGCTTGATTGAACAAAGTTTGGATAACCATATCGGATGGAAATGTAATCACTACTTTAAAATTATGTTAATAATATTATCTACTATAATAAATTCAACACGTTAATAATATTGTTAATTGTGAATATGTTAATAAGAAATTAAATTATTGTACATTATCCCGAAAACCATTAATATTACTGGAATATGTTAATAATAGGACCCCAAAAACCATTAATATTAATTGATGTTAGAAGTTCTACGGGGTAAACTGGTCTAAAGAGCTGTAAGTTTGCTTCAATTTATAGTGGATTACTGACCGGTAAAGTGCTTGAAGTTTTTACCTAATTGGAATTTTTTCGTAATCATCTTTGATGTTCTTATTACTTTAATTATTGATTGTGTTATTCAAATTTAGGATAAATTGATTTATTTGATCTAATCATCTAGAAATAATTAAAAGTGACTTGTTATTTTTAATTGTGTAATTCCTTGTGTGGGTCTAAATAATTTAAAACTTTCACTAAAGATACCATAAAACGCTTAAGACTGATTCAAACTGAATAGCTAAAATGCATACATGAATAAAATAGTATATTCATCATTTCACGGCTCATTATTGAGAAAATAGATGAAAATGGATAAAAAGAATAGTTGTGTAATCAAATGTGTAATTAAATGTAAAAATATGAAAAAAAAAATAAAAATAAAGGTATGGACTTTTTTCATTAGAATAGTGAAAAGTAGGAACATTATGTGCTAATTACCATTTGAGTAATTTATTTGAGACTAATTTGCTCTTTTTTAAAAAATTGGGACTATGATTATATTTAATGTTTTTTCTTCTGATTTTTGTTTTATTTAAAAATAATTTTATATTCTTCATTTTACAATTTTTAATTGAGAAAATGGATGAAAATGACCCTTTACGTAATGAAAAGCGGAAATAAGGGTCAAAATGCCAAAAAATAATAGGTAATGATGTTTTCCACAATAATAGTAAAATGTGAGGACGTTATGTGTTAATCACCGCAAGTAATTTGGAGATATATTTGGGGAAATCAAGGCTTTGCTTCAAAAATAGGGTTTTATCTATAACTTTGTATTTCCTCAATTGTTTTTCCGTATTTGTAATGTATTGTTACAAATATTCTCCGTTTTATCATTTGTATAAAATGTGTTAGTTATTTATGTTAGGATTTATGGTAGTAACTTAACCTAACTTTAATTAATTTTAATATTAGCTCTTTAATGCTAAAATGCTTATTTTCATGTGTATTTGTTATGATGTTGAATAGTTTAGTGATTTGTGTATCGTTCAAGAGAATATTGCACATTTTAGACCAAATAGTAAATACTCTAGGTTTGTATAAGGGGATAAAGATATACTCCTAACCCTAGGTCATCTATTGAGCTATTTTCATAAGATTTAATGCGATTATTTGGTGTTAATAGACATAGATGTTGACCTATGGTTGAATCTCATTTTGATTATCACAAACAAATTGTGTTTTTCTAACAAATTGATTTCGAATATCTATAGTGATTATTGCACAAGAATAAAATTGATGACACGAAGTTCGAGGTCAAGTAATTTGCATATAGCGATCGACCTAAAAACAAAATCGATCAATCGAGGTTATGGAGAATGATATTGAAAAACCCGCAAAAAGATGCCTCAACGCGAATCGAGACAAAAGTCGAAATACGGTCAAGCAATGTACGTCAAGATGTTCAAAAAAAAGTACTTAGACTTTTCACAATCATATGTAAAGGTAAAGCTTGGTAATGAATCGTGACGAGCTCAAAGTTTTGA